TCTCGTCCCCTTATAATAATATGTAGGCTTACAAATTGTCGCGGAAATGTACGATCGTATCAGATTGTTAAAAGCACATGGTGACTGTCAAACGTGAAAATGGCCAGTAAAAAGCAGACGATGCTTTCCACTTTCTTCGGTGGTAAAAGAAAGGTTTGTGAATCGGAAGACGATCAAAATGAACTGAGAACAGATGTAGAAACCAGTAAGCGACTCAATAAAGGGGAAAGCCTCTGTTCAAGTGGGAACTCTAAAGCTAAAATACGCAAATTTAATTCTGAGTGGCTAACAGAGTTCAAATGGCTTCGTTACGAGGATGACAGTGGAAGTGTTTTAATGTTCTGTAAAATATGCGAACATGCAGCAAAAGTGAATGGATTCACCAAAGGATGTATAAATTTGAAAAGTCTGCATTAAGAGAACATCGCGTGACAGTGCTTCCCATCATCATGCTGTAACAACAAGTTTTCATCAAAATGCAATGACTACGCATCTGAACGCTGCAACTGAGAAATCTGATGCAAAGTTAACAGCTATGATGAGAACTGTATTATACATGGCACAAGAAAATTTGGCGACTGTTAAATTTTCTGGATTGATCGAGTTACAGAAAAAAATGGCTGTTCAAGTTTGACTGGTGATGTCTACACACATTCGATAGCATTGGAGAAATGGAAGATGCGTTGCTAAAAAAAGCACGGTGAATGAAATGAAAGACAAAATTTCTAAAAGTGAGTTTGTGGGAATCATCATTGATGAGACTGTAAATGTGACAGTTGAAAAAAACTTATAATATTTGTGAAAATTTTGAACGCATAAATGGGTTGCCAGAAACACTATTTATTGGAAACTACTCCGTTCACAGTGGTACAGCAGAATGCGTGACAAATAAAAGCAACGGCGCAGTACTTGCAGAATGGAATATTCCTCTTGAAAAGGTTATTGGACTGGGTTCAGACGGTGCAGCCGTTATGACGGGGAAGAGAAGCGGTGTTGGTCTTAGAATGAATGAAGGGGGTTCCCCTTACATGATCCACGTGCATTGTATTGCACATAGGGTGGCACTGGCGTCTGCAGACGCTGCAAAAGTATCTAAAACAGTAGCAGAATATCGACGGACACTGAATGACATTTATAAACTGTAGGAATATTCAGCAACTCGGTATAACCGATTCGCCAATTATCGCAAGTTTTGGAGGATTCAGACTTTTCAAGTTTAAAACAACCATGCAGTGTCAGATGGTTGTCTGTGGGAAACGCCGTCAAAAGTGCAAAAAACAATTGGCCAGCCCTCGTTATGGAAATTGAAGAGGAGGCCGCCAACAGAAATAACAGTGCAGCTGTTAATATTCAGAAGAAGATCCAAACGTATTCGTTCATTGCCACCACTTACATGCTCTCGGATATCTTGTACTACATGGACAAGTTGATAAAGATATTTCAGAAAGAAAATCTCAACATTGGCATGGTTATGCCAATAGTAAATTCAACTTGCATTTCACTGATGGAGTTGATAACAACTCCAGGCGAAAGTGAGAAGTATTTCACAGAAAATCTCCAGAAAGGATATTTCAGGGGCGTGAAACTCAAGTACGCAGATGCTGGTTCTATTCGTGCATTTCAAAACATGAGAAAAGGATTTATTGAAGAACTATGCAGTAATCTACACGCTAGATTTCCAGAGGAGAGTTTACATGTTTTGACATGCCTTGATAAGGTTCTGAACCCCATTCGATTTCCTGAATCACAAGGCGACATTGTCGCGATAATGCCGGGATTCCCTTGACGTGTTGATAACTCAGTTCAGCCCTGTGATTGGATGAGAGGAAAATGATGTCACAGGCGTTGTCAATGGCGACCGTGCTAGGAAAGACTTCAGCCATTACAAAACAACTGTCCGTGGTCTCGGCACCACTTCACTGGAAACAACTTGTCGCGCCATTATTATGGAATATGGTGACATTTACCCAGACTTTGCTGTGTTGGCAAAGATTGCCATGACAATCCCAGTGAGCAGCGTGGCTGCAGAGAGGGGGTTCAGCCTCCAAAATCTGGTTCACAATCCCCGACGCAATCGACTGTCACAGGATCGGTTGAATACTCTCATGACATTAAACATGCACGCAGGAGAAAAGAACATCGAAAAAGCAAGAGTCATTTTCCGAAATAAAAACAGAAAACTCTAAAAGGTATGGTTTTATTGTCTTTATTGAATTAAAGAATCATTGCATAACTCTTATATAAATTGTGACCGCCAGATTGCGTACAGGACCGGAAAATGAAATGATCGCCGGACACTGTGGCCGGTAAAAAAAATACCCAGCGGAAACACTGTATATCGGTAATTAATACTGTATATTACCGTAGATAAGCCAATCTCATAAATAAGCAGAGGTCCTTACTTGACCCTTTAAATCAGTATGAAAATGGTATGTTCCGTACATAAGCTGAAGCTCTTCTGCTCATCGTCAGCAGTCATCGGAAATAGACTACCAACATATCTGTATTACATTACGCAAGTAAATCCATTTATTCTAACGTTTAATAAAACATGTTCTTTGCATATCTGGACTTATGTTTGCAATCTAGTTCATTAATTTTACTCAAAATGTCATTCAAGAATGTTTTTTTATTAACTTTGGTCCATCTGATACTTATAACTTCAGTCCACATTAATCATAGCAATCACATACAATGATATACATACTGCATATACTCGCGTCTCGAAATGGTGTAGCTGACAGAAAATTTGTATATATATTTTGTTTTGTTAAAAGTCATATTTGATGTTGGGACACTCACGTATCAACAAACTTGTAACTGGAAATACTGAGATCGTGCGGAACCATATCAGTGACAGTTCAAATTGTTTCATGTATAAAACCTGTCCGGCAATACACCAAAGTTCTGTCGCATAACCTTAGTTATGATTATAATTTACATTTATAGAGCAAACCCTGCAATTAAAATGACACAATGCTAGAATATATTTCTCTTGGTAGAATGATAGTTTCAGATACTATATTTTTCCGATCACTGTATCTGAATTGATCATATTATTGGGTACGTCTTGACTAAATCACCGTCAGATAGCGGGGAATCATTTGCACAGCTGATTGCTATTTCCAGCTCTTTGTACAAGACTAATACATGCAGTAATCTTAATCCCTGTATATAATACAATGCCTAGCAAAAACAAATTAGACCTTAAAAGGTAAATAAGCTTATCTGGTGAAGTTTATTTGCAAATTTTGACGTCTTTACTTTTGTTCGTTCATGTGAAGTGATACAGTGTCATTTTCCTACCACCAGAATAAAAGTTTGACGAAAATGTAACCTGTAGAAAAGATGACCCCCTTCTACAGACTGCATTTTTTTATCCTCAAAATTTGACATCTAAATTTAATACAGTCTTTATTTAAATTATCCTACAAGACAAGCAATGACTGTTGGTTACATTTGTGAGAGAGAAAATTCCTACACTCAAAGAATGTGCCCCTTGAGTCACATTGTTTACCCCTGATAAAGAAGTGCTCATATGCAGTGATAATATCATTGTTTAAGCAAAACAAAAAGTTATATTTGCCATCGGAAGCCATGCCAACTTACACTTGTTATTTGTGCTGTACTGATCTTTTCTTAATTTACCAAAAATACCAAGTAAAGTGATGCATTTTAAAAGTTCAGATCCAAAGATTCTGGTATGGAACTTGAAATATTGCTCTCTGAAAGTGTTACTTGAATTAACCTGTAAATATAAACATATAGTTACAGCTTGTTCAGGATAGCTGCCTGTCAGGAGACATATACTGTGACATGTCATGTCAACTTGGTTAGTATATCTTGGAATCAAATGGTTATTTAGACTAAGGTTGTCCTGAGTCTATTGCTTTGGCAACTTGTCTTTACCCTGTGAAGCGAGAACTCCAAGCATAAGTGAACATGAATTGAACTTTTACACCTGAGGAGACAACACAATGCATCAGCACATAATCACTTGCTATCAGTTCAGGCAACAAACACAGCTCTTATAAATCCTATATGTCAACATCTTTTCTCACAACCAATACACTGTCATGCCTAGGCTATATAGCTTTCAACAGTACTTCAAGACAACTGCAGTATGAAGTCTTTTTATGTAACATTATTATGGTATAGAAAATTGGATTTACAAAAGTCAAGTGTATTTTACTGATGACATAAATGAACATTATACTGTTTTGATTTCATGTCACCGCTTTTACATATAACAGAATTTACTTGCTGTGTCTGCAATCCTGGAAACACTATATGCAAAGAACAAAGCATGTAAATTATCCACATTAAAACTATCATTTATACCTTGTCCACCATTTTTTTCCATAAAATTTCTAGAACCTTATCAATGAAGATAATAAAAATCTATGGACTCAAAAAAGAAGTTTGATAGATATACAGATTAAGCATATAATTTAAGAAAGTGTAATCCCAAATATAACTTATGTTACATTTGACCACTTTCTAAATCAAAATGGCATTGTGTAATCATATCTTTTGACCGTGAGAGCCATGCCAATTTACACTTATCAGAGGGGTACACAAAATCAGAAGTCTAGACTACAAATTGTCCGACTTCCATTTTTGTGGAAGCTGCGGTGGCTGAGCGGGTTAGGCAGCTGACCTTGTGTGCTGGCAATTAGGTAGGTGCCCGACTCTGAGGGTGTGGGTTTGAATCCTGGATGGGACTCAACCCAACAAAAGTACTAGAATCTGTACTTTACTAAGAAAGTGTTAATTCCCAAATATAACATATAGTATATATAATTTGAAGTATAGTCATTTGAAATTCTGATACATGATGTATGCTTAATCTACATTGAAACAATAACATTATAAGATATGCCAGTTGTGCCAATTTCCAGTTTTACGAAATGTAGTTACATTTTTCATTTGCATCACTCAGTTGTCAGTACTTTGTATGAAGTTGTCTCTTGCATACATGCTACTTGTTACTGTTTCAGGCCTACCTACGGGAAGGAGTGGCACTGAAACACCTGGGGCAGTATGGGGAGGCTCTGGCAGCATTTGCTGCTGGACTGGCACAAGAACCGAGCAATGTTGTTCTACTGGCTGAATTGTCACAGGCAGCAATAACATGTCCCCTTCGAGGTAGGGATGCATTTGTCTGTTTTACATAGCTGTTTAAGCAGCCCTATAGACAGTGTATGAGATAAACCAAAAACCCAGTCAGACATCTGGGCTGGTAACTTCAAAAACTTACCAACCCAGAAGAGAATTAACCAGTCCTTCTTATAAACTAAATAGACAGTGCCATTGGACACGCTATCTGAATATTTTCTTTCACCCGCCATCGGGCTGGCTAGCTGTAAAATTTAGACCATCCGACAGAAATCTAGCCCGTCTCGGGCGGTCGGACGGTCCTTATTTCAAACACTGCTATAGAGAATGATATGATTTTGAGGTTTGCCAAGACAGCCATAATGAAAATTTATATTTGATAATGTTTTCATCATAATGATATTTGATCTGTATCAGGTAAGAGAGGTGAGAGTTAGGGTACCTGCTGTGCATTTCCCTTCTTGTGAGCGTTTTTATCTGTGCATAATGTGTACTGCAGTCTAACCAAAACGGGGGGAGGCTGGTCCCATATGGCGCTGAATCAACTTGTATGTACTCCTCACTATGCTGCCAGTCTCATAGTTTCATAAACATATGCTTGTTATGTACATTGTTAAGAAAGTGTTACAGCGTTCATCTTTGTCCTTATCCTGACTCATGCTTATTTGCTTTCTCATCCTTCATCCTCTCTTCCGAACGGTCAAGTGGAAACTTGAATCCCTTCATTCTTTTTCAGAGAGATCGTCCTTGGGGTACATATATGCATTTTCTGCGGCTGAAAATGTCCTGTGACAGTTGTATCAATGTTTTAATAAAAATATTGTACAATAAATAAAATCTTTTTTATCTATTATACGGCCCCCACCACGTGGAGTTACCTCCCTGCTACGCACGCGCAGCCAACCAGGTAAGCACCCAGGCCCATATCATCATTCCTTCTGCTGTCACTCAACCGTACAGACGTGTAGAGTTGCCATTGCTGAATATCTTGTTCTAAAGAGAATAATGTCTGAGACTTCACCTGTATGTATGGTCTTTATTTGTCCTTGACGGAACAGTTTATAAGACTTTTGCAGTCGGTTATTTCTCATAATTGTGACTTTGTATTAAATTTTTATGCTAGCTTTCCCGTGGTTTACGCACGTGTTGCTTTTCCATGGTGGGAAGTTTAGCGTGCCACGTGGTTGTCATATTGCGTTATAAACCAAGTATTTCTTCCCGTGGTCGCATTCACGTAATTTTCAATGTTTTGTACGTGTATATTTATGCTGCTGTCTCCGCTGTTAGCTACATGCTTGCGTGTTTGTTTTCAGGCGTTTACTGCATGTTCTGTCTGTGGGCAGAGCATCCCCCGAGCTGATAAGTGCTTATGTTGTCTTGAAAAAGTCGGCCACCATCCCGACATTTATGAACTCTGCATGGCCGTCTCCCCTCGGGCCCAGAAGCGGAATTTCTCTTCTATAAAGAGTTGCGAGAGGTGGGAGGGGAACTGACCCAGGAGGTCCTCCCGTCTAAAGCAAAAAAGTCTAGGATTCCTGGGGTTCCGTTCCCTGCGCTGCCCCGCCCGCCCCCCCATGAGAGTCCGGAGGAGCCAGTTCTGCCTGGTCTTCCTTCCGTGTCTCAGGACCGGGGTTCGAGTGTGGTGTCGGTTGCCGGAGTGGGGATTACCTTCGGCTCTGCCCTTCCCTCGGTGTCTGGTGCTCGGCCTCACACCGGGTCGGGGTTTGGATCCTCTTCGTGAGGAGATCCGGATCCTGACTTGGGCTCGGGTGCCGAGTCTATGGACGTTGGGGAGGTCGAGGAGCCGGAGGGCACTTTCCGTTTCTCAACGGCTCTCCGGGAGGTGCGGCAACGTATTGCCGAATTCATTCCCCAGGCCGCGGTACCCTGCCAAGCAAGGGCGTTTAGTACCACTGTTTGCACTTGCGGGCGCCCCTCTATGGCAGGCTTACCAGACTTATGAGGAAGTATATCGGAATGCCATGCAGCAGGGTGGTGATCCACGAGGCCTACCTTTCCTCTATCCAAAGGTCGGCCCTTGAGGCTGAAGGGAACGCTGGGGATGTGTCCCCGCATGTTGTTCTGCTGCGCCAGTTGTCCGAAGTGCAGGCCCACCTAGCGCGCGACTGCTTGCGGTCCTCGGCGTCTACGGTGATGTGCGCAGTCATGGGGATGCGCAAGCTGTGGCTGTCGACCTCTCGCTACTCGGCAGCAACACAGCAGACCTTGCTGGCCCTTCCGTTCTGTCTGGGAGCGACGTTGTTTCCTGGGGCTCAGCAGGTCATTCGGGAGGCTGCTGCTGCAGCTACCTCCTTCAAGGACTCTAAGGCCTTGTTGGAGCATCCGTGGGCTTGTCGCCCCCGCGCCTCATTAAGGGGGTTCCTCCTCCGGGGTGCAGCCTACACCCGAGTCTGCTGGCTGGCTTCGGCCGCTGGGCAGGGGTAGGAGGAGAAGCCGTCCCACCAAAGGTAAGGGCAAGGAGCAGTCGCTCCCAGCAGATTAGAAGTATGACGTCGCCGATGTCATCGTCGCAGTCTACCCCTGGCAGTGATGCTGAGAGATCTTCGAAGATGGTGCATCTTCTTGTTGGCAGGCTACCACAGCCATTGCAGAGCCAGAGGCAGCAGAAGTCAGCTGAAAACCCGTTAGCATTGAGAGCGCTATGTCGTCAGCGAATTCGACAGACGAGTCAATCGCAGTCATCCCACAGCAGCTTCCGATTACGAACGCTGAGGTCCTCAATGCTGAAGATTTTGCTGGCACCATCACCTGTAGGATGATTCAGGCCATGGAGACGCATCCTGGTACCAGACGACCGATGGCAGAGCATCCAGTCGTACATACCAGACGCCCTCAACTCTCCACTAGACTTAAGAACGTGGCAGCGACTCTTGGGTCTACTAACATCGGCACAGGCTCTCACACGCAGAGGAAGATTGCAACTTTGACCACTACAGAGGTTCCTGATAGCTCATCTAGACGATGTCCAGAAGTTCGCCATCCCGCAACATCTAAAGCAGTACTTGCTTTGGTGGACAGTAAGATCGAATGTTTGCGGCGGAACCTGTTTGAGAGAGCCAGATTACGATCTTCATCTCTACGTGGATGCATTCCTCCAAGGATGGGGGGCACATCTCAACGACGAGGTTGCAGCAGGGCAGTGGTCACAAACAGAGAAGAGCCTGCACACCAACCAGCTAGAACTGAAAGCAGTTCTATATTGGGAGGCGCAGTTAGAAGATCAGGTCACGGACAACTCTACGGTGGCCTTTTACATAATTCTGCAAGGGTCCACGAGATCAGCGCTGTTGCTTCAACTGACGTTCCATCTGTTCGACATCGCAGACGAAATCAACCTGCAGATGAGGGCTTGCCACATCCCAGGGGCAAAGAACATCCTAGCCGACGCACTATCCAGACCAGTACAGCCTTCTCCCACAGAGTGGAAGTTACATCCAGAAGTGTTCCAGTGGGTAACAACACAACTAGGCCGTCCCCTCATTGACCTGTTTGCAACCCGTTTCAACCAGCAGGTGACAACATTCATCTCGCCAGTGCCAAACCCGCTGGCATGGGCTGTTGGCGCCTTAGCCATATCCTGGGAGGGAATGAAGGCTTATGCCTTCCCTCCACCCTTCTTGCTACCTCAAGTATTACGCAAGATCAACCAGACGAGGGTGCTACAACTGATTTTGGTAGCGCCTTATTGGCCAGCGAGACTATGGTTCCCAGACCTCATAGATCTTCACGGCAAACCAGTTCTACGATTACCAGATTGGCCGAACCTACTCGTCCATCCTCACGTCAAGCAGTGTCACGGCAACCCAGAAGCATTCCAGTTACACGTATGGAGCATATCACTTACTGCTTGAAGAATCGAGGTTACTCCACTAGAGCAGCCATGGCTGTGACCTTGGCTCTATGAAGATCTACACGTAACTTGTATGATGACAAGTGGAGAAGTTTTGACCAGTATGCTGTTCAACAGGGGTTCACGGCCAGGAAGACGACACATTCACAAGTAGCTGACTACTTGTGTCATCTGAGGTCCACTACGCTGTCTACATACCTTGCAGCAATCAGCTCGGTCATCACCATGAAGACAGAGGTGAAGTTGACGAAGGTGCCTGAACTAGTGGCCCTGCTGAGATCTTTCAAGTTGGAAGATCAACAACAGAAGTTCAGAGCACCAGCATGGGACCTCAACATAGTGTTGCAGCACCTCATCAGTGACGTATACGAACCGCTGATGCAGACGACATTTGAGTTATTAACTCAAAAGACGATATTCCTCCTCGCCTTGGCTACTGCTGCTCGGATGTCAGAAATACACGCCCTTGACTTCAGCCGTATGAGATTCGACACAGGAAGAAGGGAAGCAGTCCATCTAGGCCTTAGATGGGACTTTATAGCCAAGAACCAGCTACCGGGCCAACTGGATCGTCAGTTCTACGTTCCGTCATTATCAACAATCCTGGGTCCAGAAGACACTCAAGATTTGTCTTTATGCCCGGTCAGAGCGCTGAGAATCTACTTGCAGAATTCTGCTACGAGAAGAAAGAAGTTCAAGCATCTATTCATCCCGCTATCAACCGCTACGACTGTAGAAGTATCCCGTACAACGATCTCCTTCTGGATCAGAGCGGTGACCCTAAGAGCCTATTAAGCAGCAGGGTTAGAGCCTCCAAGAGCATCAAACCCACATGAAGTTAGAGGATTGGCCTCGACACTCGCTCTACATGGAAACTGCTCTACATCATCTATAATGGAAGGCTGCTTTTGGAAGTCAGACACTGTCTTCGCTAATCACTACCTGAGAGACATCTCCACAGAAGATGTATCAGGGATACACCAGTTCGGCCCTCTAGTCGTAGCGCAACAACTCACTGTACCGGCCAGACGTTAAAGAAACTCACCCTTGTCACGCAGACTCGTTGACGCCAGGCAACTGTCCATTGCCACCGGCTGAGAGTCCATGTTCCCCTGACTTTCGAGATAAGTCAGCGCATGAGTGATACATAGACTCAGTTATGGTAATGTTCTTGCCTTAACAGATGGGTCGCGATTCCAGTTTCGGTAAAGTTCTTACCGTATCATATTGGGTCGTTGCAGATATCTAGACAACCAGGCGTCTAGTATACTAAATCCACAAAACGTAAGAAGTTAACTTCTAATACGAATGTATAAGAAGGTGGTTCCCCGACAAGCATCAAGAAATATTGAAGTTAGCGGCAGAAGAAGAAAATTCCCAGGGGTTATATATATATCAAGCGAATGCTAACGTGAAGACAATCATGCAGGGAATCGACCCACCACCGATTCCGTCGGATTTAGTAAGCAAATAAGCATGAGTCATGATAAGGAAAAATATGTAATTTTTATGATAAAATTAATATTTTATACTTATCCTGACTCATGAGATGAAGCCCTCCCAACCGTCCCCTCCCACCACACGGGTTTCCCTGTAAACCTGCGTGGGGCTTATATCGGGAGAGAGTGAGGACAGAGGCATGCTGAGGTCACCTTTTTGGCGGGAAATAAGGGAGGTAATTCGGGGTGAGTGATTGTACGTTCGCTTCAAGGGAATTGAAGGGATTCAAGTTTCCACTTGACCATTCGGAAGAGAGGATGGGAAAGCAAATAAGCATGAGTCAGGATAAGTATAAAATATTAATTTTATCATAAAAATTACATATTTCTTCACACTCTGTAACCAAAATTAACAACAACCAAAGTTAATTTTTTCTTGTTGATTATTGAATATGCTGATGATGGATAAGTTATGAGTTATATTCCTGAAAATGCTATTATAGAAAGCTGTGGTGTCAGATTATTGACATTCAGGTCACTGGATGTGGAACTGAAAGAGATCACCAGTTTGATCAACACCTAGAATGGAGTCTTATAATAATGTTTCTTTGTGTTTACTTGTCATTAACTGTCAGCTATCCCAATTTACTACATGCTAGATCCCACCAAGCCTTCAGGTCAAATATGGCTTTGATGTAATCTAAGTAATGTATTCCAGGGAATTATTACACAGTGGTTATCAATGTAAATAATTCAAAGAATTTAATTTAAGCTTGGAAACTGTAAACATGTTATCACTTTGCCAGTCTGACATGAAAATAAGAAGATCATATCTTTTCCTGATGAAGAATGTTTTTATGCAGTCATTGTTGTTAGTTAAATCAATGTCATCAAATGTCCAACAAATTAATCTTTCAGCTTCTTATTTCCTTTTGGGGATTCCAACATCAATAATCTCTGTGATGGTATTTCAGATAAGCTGGCTCCAACCTTCCTGCAGCTGGAGAAGTTAAGACTGCACAGAAGTCCGTTCGTCATCATCTCTGTGATTGGGCAAGAACTACTGGCAGCCGGAAACTATGAGTCTTCTTTATTGATGCTAGAATCAGCACTTCACATTGGAACATGCAGTCTCAAGCTGAAAGGTTCAGTGTTCTCAGCACTGAGCAGTGCATACTGGGCAATGAACAACATGGACAAGGCCATCTACCATATGCAACAAGACCTGGCCGTATCAAAGTCTTTAGGTGAGATGTGTTGTTTGTATCGTGCTTTTAAATCAAACCTTTCAGCAATCTGTCTAAAAGTGTCAGTAACTAATATTATATACTGAGCAAAACTGAAAACTTGACACTCAGGATTTTTTAGACTAGGTTTTTAATATTAGGTTTAAGACAATAATATTAGTTGTATGCTGTGCACAGAACATCTTGACATCACAGGAAAGCAAAAAACAAGTCGATTACATTCATGATGTCAGGGTGCCCTTCAAACTGTAGTTCACAGTGTGGAGAACAATTCGATTGAGGTCTTCAGTAAGGGTTGTGGCCGCCACTAGCGTCTCTTACAGCCACGCAACATCTCTCATGGATCCTAGAACGTTAGTAAACACACCCTGAGGAAGACATTGCTCAACAAGGTGACGTTGAAGATCTTCCAATGTTGGATAGGCTTGCTGATGAACAGGTTGACCCAGCTCGTCCCAGATGTGTTCGATAGGATTGAGGTCAGGGACAATCGAGAACTTGAATAGCTCCATTTCATAGAAAATTCAGTGTTAGAATTGTGGTATGCCATCTAGCATTGTCTTGTTGGAACCATGTCTGTATACATGGAAGCAGGACAGGTTAAAAATCTGATCCCTGTACTGGGCAGCATTTAAGTTCCCTTGAACAACAAGAAGGGGAGAACGTCCATGTTCGCAAAATAAACCCCACACCATTACGACTCCGCCACCAGATCTATCCACTTCACGGACTTGCTTGACGTTCACCTCGCCTTCAGTACACTCAAGCCCTGCCCTCGGCAAATCTCAATGTGAATCGAGATTCGTCGCTGAAGACAACTGAATTCACTCTCTTTGATTTAATGTTATGTGTCTTGTGGCCCACGCCAGTCAGATGCAGTGATGAAGAGGTGTTAAAATTGGTCCATTATGGTGTCTAATCTCATCCTAAGAGTAAACATTGTTTGTCATGAGCAGTTAAAAGCTTTTGCAACAGCGAACAGAGACTGACCAGCATCAAGCTTCCACATAACACATTGATGTTCTTGATTTGAAATGCGTGGCCCTGTCTGCGTGTTGGCACTTCATGAGACTGGGACTGGGCCTGCCTGGGTATCAGGACTCTCTGAAACTGGGCCTGGCCCTGCCTGGGTGTCGGCACATACTGAGACTGGGCATGGGCCTGCCTGGGTGTCCACACTTCCTGAGACTGGGCCTGGGCCTGGGTGTCGTTAATTCCTGAGACTGGGCCTGGGTCTGCCTGGGTGTTGGCAATTCTTGAGACTGGGCCTGCTTGGGTCTGCCTGGGTGTCTGCACTTCCTGAGACTGGGCCTGGGCCTGGGTGTCCGCAATTCCTGAGACTGGGCCTGGGTCTGCCTGGGTGTCTGCTCTTCCTGAGACTGGGCCTGGGCCTGCCTGGGTGTCTGCACTTCCTGAGACTGGGCCTGGGCTTTGGTGTCCAAAATTCCTGAGACTGGGCCTGGGCCTGCCCTGGTCTGTGTGGGTGTCGGCAATTCTTGAGACTGGGCCTGCTTGGGCCTGCCTGGGTCTGCCTGGGTGTCCAAAATTCCGGAGACTGGGCCTGGGTCTGCCTGGGTGTCTGCACTTCCAGAGACTGGGCCTGGGCCTGCCTGGGTCTGCGTGGGTGTCGGCAATTTTTTAGACTGGGCCTGCTTGCGTCTGCCTGGGTCTGCCTGGGTGTCTGCACTTCCTATAACTATGGGCACTTCAATGAGTTTCCATTTCATTGATTTCGTTTTGGATGGCTCTCCAATCTATAACGCTTCTGAGGACTGTATTTTGACCTGTATCTTGAAGTCCATTCTCTGAAAGACTTTCTTCAGTATTAACCATTGTGAAATAGCGTTCCAGTTGTAATACATCGTTTCTGTGATGATTCAGTAAAGGGTTTGTGATCACATTATGTGATGATCAGCCATTGTGTGAAGATGAATGATTGCTTGCAAGGTCTCGGGCAAAGACTACAGAGGAGACTCTGCTCTTATTCCTGAAGTAATCTCATGTCTGTACCACTTGCAATACATTGTCAGCAACACACTTGCATCTGTGGCAAATATAATGAAGTCCTCGGTGTCCTGAACCCAGGGTTTTAGGAGCTCTTATGTCAAAATGTCATCTCATTTTGAACAGAAAATTCCAATCAAGTTCTAATCATGAATTTGTCTTGTTTCGACCAAACAGCACTTCCAGGATCGTCATACTTATCCCCCCAGGGTACCTCGTCCTTGTTGTAGGGTAGGGTAGTAAGGAGTGCCTGCCATCGGTTGGCAAGGATGACAAGGCATTTTCCACAACTCTTCTGTCCCCAGACACTCTGTAGCTGTTGATGAGCTCTGCTTCATTCATTCCTCTCTTCAAATAAGACTTTATGTGGTATGTTCGGAGGGCAAAGGCATCATCAGCTACTATGAAACAGGGCATATTGATGTCATCATTAGGATCTGGAATACCAATGGTAATGTCTTCTAAAAATTCTTTTAACTCAGATGCATTGAAGATCTGGGCATCTAACATGTAACCCATACCTCCAATGTCAATCCAGACAAGTTTGTAGTTGGCATCCACTAGAATTCCTTGTAGTTGTGGTACAGAGAGCCTGAACTGGGTGGTTTCCTGATTGCAATGTGTCATCGTATCGTATGGTGACAATAATTGGATTGTCTGGTTCAGACCCGATTTATTCACAAACAACATCATACAGCTGTAATACTGCTGAAACAAAACTGCTCATGATATAGTCACAATTGAGCAATCGACTCTAAGATTTCTTATGAATGTGGAAAGGGTTTTGTTGCTTCTATTTGCCATCTAGGGCTCCAACAGCATGAGGCAGTTCAAACTGTTTGCTAATTTGGCTCCAACCCTCGGCAGTTACGGGACACGAGTTGACTTCATCTTTGTAGTGCTCAACTATGGCCTTACAAACCTTGGGTATGAGGTTGTCAATGGTATGCTTTGAGTGGCAAGAGAGTGAAGTGTACTGATGCCAAATGTCTGAGAGTTACAGCTAGTTTGAACCCAGGTTCCAGGGCTTTTCGACAGTTGGTGTCTTGTTGGATGAGTCTAGGAGCTGGGCTATTCAGCAGCTCATCAAACATCTCAGGTGGCATCTGCAGGTAATTGAAAAATGAACTGGTATCCTCATACCTCAATTCTGTCATGAGTCTCTCATAGCGGCCAAACTGAAGTCTTCTATCTGCTGAAAGCCATGGGCACACCCAAAAGGCCTTTCTTCTCTTCCTTCTGAGATGCAGGTAGATGCATTTCTGTGTTGGAGTAGTGGTTGATGCTCTAGGAGGACGAGAAGTTGGAAAGTTGGAAACATCCTTCTTGTAGATTTGGGGAAGAATGAAAATCGGCTCCAATCGGGATCTGTTTATACCGTAATGGATCGCAAATACCGTAAGTACAGCGCAGTAACATCAACAGGAATCATAATCTGATCATCTCACATCGGCATCAATCATGGGAATATCGACAAGGAACAGGAAAATATTGACAAGTGCGTTGTATATCTAACGGGAGAGATTGGCTGTTAGAATGGGCGACGATCGTAACTATATTGTAGCTTTGTCGTATAAGTCGTATGCAGATTGTATGCACATTGTCAGCTACACGTCAGTTACACTTACATTCAGCGTAGGTGGCCAAAATGGCCACCCATGACGGTTTGGTCGGGAGGAGGAAATCAGGGGGGATCTCCATGGTTGGATAAAAATTGGCTTCAGTGGCTTCACCTTGTCCAAAATATGGGTGTTCTTACATCAACCATTACATATATGTATCATATTTTATTATTATTACTTTTTGGGGACGGTAATCAACTCATGAGTAACATATGTAGTTAAATTAAAAAACATAATATTATTAAACAATAACTGAATGTTTATGGTAAAAGATACTATGTCAGTATTTGTTTCAACTGTTACCTCCTGGTTGTAATGATATTTATCATGACCTCTGAAATCTTTGAACATCTAGGTAGACTCATTTGTTGGTAACGGTCCTCCCCAAAACTTTTGACAAGGGAAACAGATATTCCTAGACCAGTGACGAGTGACACGAAAACAGAATGTATCCAAGTGTTGAGTAGTGTGTGTGTGTTTTCAGAAAATAGCTTATCTATCGCATGAAACTAACCTGAAACATAATCACAGAAAAGTAGGGGTGTCACTGGTTCAGATTGAAGTTACTTTCATTTTGAATTTCTTCCTTTCAGGAGACCAAGATGGTGAGTGCCGTGCATATGGGAACCTGGGGTCTGCATATTTTTCCAAAGGCCATTACAAAGAAGCATTATCAAATCATAGGTACCAGCTTGTCATCGCCATGAAGCTGAAGGACAGGGATACTGCAGCCTCCTCACTCAGTAGTCTTGGCCATGTATACACAGCAATTGGGGACTATCCAAATGCACTCAACAGTCATAAACAGTGTGTCCTTCTACTTAAACAGAGTGGCGATAAGCTGGCAGAAGCACGGAAATTGGTAATGTTGGTGCAGTTTATTTAGCTATGAGCAACTTTGACAGTGCAGTAGAGTGCCATCAGGAACACTTAAAAATGGCCAAGGAATTGAAGAGTCATGTGGAGGAGGCACGTGCATACAGCAACCTTGGAAGTGCTCATCATTACAACAGAAACTTTCAAAAAAGCAATATTGTATCATAACAGTGTGTTGAAAATTGCTGAACAGCATGCAGATAAGGCACTAGAGGCTCGTGCTTTTGCTGGTCTGGGTCATGCATCTCGGTGCTTGGGTAATACCACACAAGCCAAAAGCTTCCATGAGCAGCAACTTGATAATGCCTTGCAGACCAGAGACAGAGTTGCAGAGAGCAGAGCTTGTTCTAATCTAGGTATTATCTATCATCAATTGGGTGAATATGAGGCATCACTAAAGCTTCATAATAACAACTTGCGTATTGCCAAAGCTCTAGGTGACAAAGCTGGACAGGGCAGAGCTTATGGCAACATTGGAAATGCATATAGTGCTCTAGGTCAGCATGAATTGGCTGTTAAGTACCACAAACTAGAACTTAAAATTGCCTCAGAAGTAAATGATCGTCACTCAGAAGGATCCACCAATGGCAATCTTGCTGTGGCCTACCAAGCTCTTGGTTTGTATGAAAATGCACTACAGCATTACCTCTCTCACCTGAATATTGCCAGAGAGCTTAAAGATTCATCTAGTGAAGCAAGGGCACTCAGTAATCTTGGTAACTTTCATTGTGCACGAGGTGATTTCAGAAGTGCAGTATCCTTTTATGAGCAAAACTTGAGCCTTTCACAGGAACTCCATGATATGGAAGGTGAGAGCAAAGCTTGTTTTAGTCTTGGGTATGCTCATTACTCATTGTGTAATTATGAGGAAGCTGTTCGCTACTATGAACAAGATTTGTCACTTGCAAGAGAGATGAAAAACAGATTGTCATTGGCAAGGGCATATTGTAATTTAGGTCTTGCTCATAAGTCTCTTAAGAACTTTAATGACTCCTTAGAATGCCAAAAGAAATGTTTAGGTTTGATGGATGCTTTAAGAAATAGTCCTGGCAAATTCCGTGCATTGGGAAATATTGGTGACCTCCTGCTAAAGACTGGAGATATAGATGAGGCCATAAAGGTCTATCAACAACAGTTGCAACTTGCCAAACACTGCCAAGACCAAGATCTACTTGCTGCTGCTTATGGTTCGTTGGGTGTAGCTCATCGTATGTTGGGACAGTATGACAAGGCTTTAGCCTTCCACACACAAGAACTAAACATCAGACAAGAGAGCAATAACATGAAGGGAGAGTGTAGAGCTCATGGTAATATGGGCAATGTGCACATGTCCTTGGGAAATTATCTCAGTGCTTTCAAATGCTATGAGGAACAACTAGAGAGAAGTCGTGACCTGCATGACATTGAGTTAGAAGGACAAGCCTGTGGCAACCTTGGCATCACAAAAATGAATATGGGACATTTTGAGGAATCTATTGGTTTGTTTGAACAGCAGTTAGCAATGTTGGAACAACTATATGGAGAAGTACCAATGAGGGACAAAGGGAAAGCTTTTGGAAACCTTGGTGATTGTTATGAGGCACTTGGAGACTTTGAAGAGGCCATCAAGTGCCATGAGCAGTTTCTTGCACTAGCTCAACAATCATGTAATCTTCATGAACAAGACCGAGCTTATCGTGGGCTTGGAAATGCACACAGAGCTATTGGCAATTTACAGCAGGCTTTGGTTTGCTTTGAAAAGCGACTTGTTGTTTCTCATGAACTCAACAGCCTTGTTGCCAAGGCCTCAGCATATGGTGAACTGGGCTGTCTGCACAGTCTACTTGGGAATTTTGAACAGGCAATCTCATGTTTAGAACACCAACTAAGTATATCAAGAGAAATGGGAGATGAACAGTGTGAAGGAGATGCTGCATGTGGACTTGGTGGAGTTTATCAGCAAATGGGGGAGTATGAATCGGCTCTCAAGTACCATCAGATGGACTTGCAGATTGCAGAGGCTGGCAACAAGACAGCCTGTCAATGTGAGTACAATATAAACATGACTAATGCATAAATGATTGAAATATTCTCTATGAACCGAGGGCACAAATAAAGCATTTGGTCAAGTGGTAACTTTTGGTATTCAGAAACGGTTTTATCTCTCGTCATTCCAAGGTTATGTCATGTCTTTGAAAGGCTTGTCATAAACGTTTGCTTGTCCAATGCTTGCCTGAAGCCATAAGGATGAAACTTTACATGAACTGTTCTGGTAATTTGTCTTCAGCGAACTCACTTTTTTTACACAAATTCAAGTAAGTTAATGTAATAACCTGCTTTTCAGAAATTCATTGTCGCCTGTGAACATTTTCTTCTCAGAAATTATCAGACAATTGAAGTTTCACATGGCTCTTGTCAACAATGAATTTGTTCTAGCAGCATATTAACCATATACATTTTTGTCCAGGCCGAGCCTATGGGAATCTGGGATTGTCCTACGAGTCCCTTGGAAACTACCAAGAAGCAGTTAGGCACCAAGAACAGCATCTAAGTATTGCAGCACAAATGAATGACCGAGTTGCAAAAACTCTTGCATACAGCAGTTTAGGTACGTAAATATGTGCTGAGTTCTTTGGCCTCAGAATTCTTAACAATCCATTCCTCTAACGTTTGATTTCCACTTTCTTCTAAGGTTTGGCTATCTATTTCTATTACTTTCATCGGTAAATGTAAAGATTTAGATGTATTTCTGCATCCTCACCTGGCACCAAAAAACTGTTCCCAAAGGATCAGTCTGCAGTGCATTGCTACTCCATGTTCCTTTGTCTCAAGACATATCAGCCCATACAGACAATTGGGCAATTATCATGACAGAACAGTAGATCCTCAGAGGCATCAGGGAAAGAGGTTCCTCTTGTTGACACACCAAGCAGGACATTGGCATCCTTCCAGAACCACAAGATTTCAGCAGCGATGACAACCACAGACAAGCGGGTGGACAAAAAAGCTGTCATTGAGTTGGATCTTAGGATGCTTACCTTACTGAATTATCTATACTGTCATCTCTTCCAGTTAAGAGTTCTCCTGTTCAGAATTTTGATAGCTCCCAGGGCCCCGTTCACAAAGCTCTCGTAAGCCTAAGATCTCGTAACTTTCCTCGTAGCATTCGTACCTCCTATACAGTAACATAGGAGGTACGACGGCACGAGGAAAGCTTACGACGAACTTAGGCTTACGAGAGCTTCGTGAAACGGGGCCCTGGATATTAACAGTCATCATAGCCCAGTCCTGGCCTATCTACACCTGCAGTGCATAAGGATTCACTGCTACTTAGCCGACTTCCTGTCTCCATATTGGACAAATAGATAGTAGTATAGGGAATGGGGGTTTTGGACCAGGTCCAACAAAAGCCTCTGCAAAGCCTTATTCCCCAAATAAGGCTTTGGTCGGACCCTTAGCTCTTGCTACCATTACCCCTACTGCTTTCCCAACCTATAAAAATTTCAAGCGAAAAAGTAGTAAAATGTCCCCGACAGCCACAATTCCCAAAGGGAGAAATAGAAATGTATTGCGCTTCCTCCCTTTGGGAATTGTGCCGGCTGCCTTTCTCTCACATCACACAAAGTTGCAGAGACAACGGCGGGATACGAACCCACATGCACAGCTTGCGCAGACTATACATAATGGGCCGCACCACTCAACCGACTGAGCTACCGCGGACTTAGCTGAAGTAGGTCAGTTTAACGGGTAGATCATGCGCACCCACGCATCACGTGACACGTTGTCTGGAATCAATAATTCCTGTCTGCCTGGCCCATCCCTCAAGTAGTACAAGGTAGGTTCGTCTGATTTCATTTTCATTTTATCTATGTCCACGTGCCGCTATGTCACGTTGGCCTCGATGAAACAGTTTAATGTGAATCGCCTATGATCTCTTTGGTGTTCGTAATAAAGGCTTGCCGGGCTTTTTGTATCCCCTGTTCTATGTACTTTTTTTTCTCGTCCTCGCTTATAGCAGACTTACGAGACTTGGATCGAATCTCTTGTTTCATTTTGTCATATTTTGTGAGTTCAGAGAGGATCAAACGAAACTCCTCCTCTGAGATTTTGTTGTCAGTGAGTGCCGCTGAAATACGGTCGCTTACGGTCGCTTACGTGTTCAGCTTTGCTTCAGCTAGAATTCTAATTTCATCATGCTTCAATGCTTTACGATGCAGTCTGCGTGATGCAAACTTAAGCACCAACCCTAACACCCCTGTCACCCCAGCTGTTATTTCAAGGCCTAGCACTATAGGTGCGGCCACGATGGTAGCTAATAACCCAACACCTGCCACCCCTAGCCCCATGCTGGTTGTCATAAGGGTGGTATCAACACCGTCCACGGCATTGAAAGCTCTATGGTACTTCTTATATAGTGCTTTCCGCTTGTCGCGGTCTTGTTCTAATTGACGTTTTACATCGCATAACTGTCTCAAGCGGAACCCGTCTACGGTTTCCAGGGTCTTCGCTACTTCATCTATGCCTGGGTACAGTCCCATCCTATAATATATATTACAAAAGATATTTTAATTGGGTTTCATTTAACAGTCGATCAACGTACTTGAGACTTATAAGGTGTAAACCCTCAGGTAGGAGAATAGGTGAGAATTTAATAGGTGACTCTGCATCCACACGATCCCAATAGGAGGAGGGGCTTATTGAGGAGGTTATAGAACCTGTTAAGGAGTCCGTTTGTATGATGATACGTCAACGGCTATCACTGGTCCTGGGATTAAAGTGTACTGTCACCCCGGGTAAGAGTTGGTGTTGTTTACTAACAGAAAATTTCAGGAGATCGAATTCTATGATGAGTGTGGAGCCTGGTACCATAAGCGGAACCCTAATATACTCAGAGCAGTTATGCCTTAACTCACCCCCGCGGAATGCCATTAACATATTGGGGTGCATTCTTAGACTAATACTTGAATTAGGCCCAGGAACGAAACACGAGGGTAAGACACCGCTATTCTTAATTTCAGAGATTTGATCGTGTTCCTTAAGTGAGATATAAGGTGAGGTGAGGGTTAAGTTGATTATCCATTCGGGTTCTTTAAAATCTGATAACGACACCCGCCTATACACGTTGTCTTTCAAGTGCAGGATGTATAAGGTGTCTTCCTCACCAGGTTGATCGAATCCCTCTGTGTCCCCTAAGTCGTTAAGTGTAGTGTTGGGTCGAAGCCAAGACATTGCTATAATACTATTACGATATAATTTCCAACTGGTTTTCTGATAATAATTCAGGGGTGAAGTGCACCCCCATGAAGTGTATATTGTCGGGTAGGAATATCTTGGTTAGTGATATAGTGTCTTCCACGATCACATTGACTCCCTGCAGACTGGTTTTGGAGTCGGCACCCACCCGCACGTAAACGTTGCAAACGTGATACTGTTGTTGTTTCCCCCACCTCAGTTTGACCCCCTTCACGATTTCGACATCATCCCGCGATGGTTCCCCTAGGTAGACTTGGATGATCAGTGTTGAGTTCGCCGGTAGACTCTCCAGGATCTTGACCACGCCTTCGAATTCAGCCACCAACTGCAATACCACGTTTTGCATGCCTGCCTTACTGGATAGCATGTGGGCTGCCATACTGGCGAGTGGGCTGATGACTACGCTACGTCTCTGAGTCGGGATGTAAGCCACGAGCAGGGTTCCGTTGTTCACGACTTTATTTAGGTGGTTGTCTTTGTTATCCGTGAACACGTAGGGGGAGCCGAGCTTAATATTGAGAAACCAGTCGGCTTTATCGGGTAATAACACCCACTTGTCATCATCGGTGAAGACGAGTGTATATGGCTTATTTTTGATGATAGCCGTCACGTTGCTCTCAAGTCGAACAGTTTGCCCCCGAACGATGGGTATATTATCCAGTTATCATCACCGGTGTTGACAAGGGTGTACTTAGTGTTGACTGCCGCTCTTGTGGTATCTACTATATCACTTAGGTTGCTAGTACCATTGGAGGGGACTTCAACGCGTTTGTAAATGCTGTTTTTAAGTTGCAAGGAGTACACTTTACCATCCACTCCGGGGTCGTCGAATCCACGTGTGTCCCCGAGATCGGAGATCCCCACATTGATGCATTTTTTCAACTTCATTCCGGGACCTTGTGCGCTGGTCATTTTATGTGCAGCGTTACGCTGAGGTATCCTATATTCACGAGATTATGATTTATATCTAACACCGATATTATCAGCTCAGGGATGTTGCCCTGGGTTAACCTCTTATACTGCCGCGGTGAAAGCGACTCGGTTCTGCCGTCGTTGTATTTCTCCGTTTTCACCGGTGCGGCTCTCAGTATAGTGGAAGGGTGACCCCTTGAATGTTGTCCGTTGTGCTAACCTGGCTGAGATGAATGCACAGCTCTCGATGCGGTACTAGGTCGGGTAACCGTGCCTGTGGCGGTAGTCGTTGGTTTTATCTCGTCAGGCTGTATACCGAAAGTGTCCTCGCCAGTGGTCGATCGAGCCTCAAGGAGTTTCTTCCGTTGTTGATTAACACCACTGTACCCGTTTGAGTCGTTCATCTTGAGTTCGGCTCCCAGGGGTTTGAAGACCTGCATTAAGCTTAGAGAGCACTGCGCTGTAGTAACCGTCAATTATCTTGTTGCTAAGCCACCTACGAACAGTTTATTGTTGCTAGCGTTGATGTTAGTCCATCGTGGTAGGTAGGTGATATCGCACAGTGCGCGACTTCGAGTTGACCCGACGTGTTATCGATCAGCGTCAGCTGAACGGCCTCGCCGCTCGTTATTCCTGGAAGTGTTATGTACATGTTAGAGTATATAAACTCATTATATAATAGTTTTACAATGTACTCCCCTGGAGTGTTTTACCCTAAACTGGACGTAGATTTCCCCCACATGAAGATCGTGGTCGCTGCCGGGTTGTATTTCGACGCCCAGTTCATAGATGTGTTCCACAAGTATAAATTTTCGGTGACTAACGCTAAGGTAGTTCACGCTTGGCTCAACAGACCGATGCAGTTCTGGCAGAATCAACTCAACTTCGCCGTGTGGTGCGCTACAACGGGGTGTGGTGTGACATTGACCGACACTTTCGGCGTGGACCGCTGAGTCAGTCTGTGTTCACGTTCCACATGTACTACCAGGTCAGGCGTATCCTCAAAGAGATCAGCCCGCTCCCACAGGAAAAGGCGTGGAATGCAGTAAACAACCAGTACGATAGGCGGGCCTACTCTAACGTATTTGCAACGAATTCGAACTAAACACGAAGACGGATTGGCGTTTGCCGGGACCGAACCACGGGTTGGGTATCCCCATCGTTCACAATATGCCCCTCGTGGAAGCCAGCGAGAAGTTGAAAGAATGGGGATACAAGTCATATCATATCACAACAAACGAGTGGGATGACCGTTACATGGCTTTCGACGACAGTAAGGATTACAGAGTCTGGAGGTTTGAGCAGGGAGCAGCGGATGACTGGAAAAAGTTCATGCTGGACACATCGAAAGGGTTCACTCGTGCCGGGGTAAGCAGGTTAAACGACTCAATTCGAACCTACGTGTGGGCGCTGTTGGGTGCGCAGATATCCTAGGTAAGGGAA